GGAGGCAGTATGACCTCTGAAACGTTGGTAAACTTCTGCCAGACTACACAGCGCAGCAACCTAGAAGACAGAAATCTTCATACTCATCGCCCTGATGACGGAGGCAGTATGACCTCTGAAACGTTGGTAAACTTCTGCCAGACTACACAGCGCAGCAACCCAGAAGACAGCCATCTTCGAACTACCTCAAAACCTACAACGGCCAAATGACCTCTAGCAAAATGGTACAGCCATAGCCACGAACATAAATATAATTTGTGCTTACCAAACCACTATATTTTGCACATCCTGTGACTGACAGTTGATGAACAGTGATTTACGTTTTTCCGACTTGATTTTCTTACAGCGCTGATGACGAATTCGGTTTTCTGGGTTGTAACAATGTCATGAGTACTTGTAGATATACACCAATGTTTCGGAGGAGCATATTGCCTCCATCTACAAACACAAACGTTACAGAATATCAACTTAGACAGTAATTTGTATAACCGTCTGTATCCATTTTTTGCACAGCTCTGTGCGGTATATGCGTCTTAAACAAACTTAATAGTACTAACAACCTAAAAATGTATTCGTTGGCGTTCAACAAAATTTTATCACATTGTTAAAACAGTTCAGGAAGGAGACTTTATTGTAGTATTAATTGGTTTAGTGAATATCATTTAAAATTACCGACAGAAGACATGTGTAAGATTTAAATATTATATTATTATATTAGTACCTGAATTTTGTGAATAACTTACATTTTCAATCTGCCCAGTGATATCAGTATAATATCTTGTTTCTGTTGTCTCAAAAGAGAGGGAATATACATGTGTTTTAGTATCTTAGTTTAGGTTTAAAATCACAAAGGCTTACACAATTTTTACTTTATAATAATTTTAAAAACTGTGACATCCAATTTGTGTTTTAAAGAGACCATCTCAGTAATTTTAACGTTCAAATGAATTTTAAAATGGGAAATTGTACGATTATCAAAACTCAAAATAACATTTAGACAAATTAATCTTGTGAGAATTTATCTTCATTTATGTTTTATATTTATACACTTAAATGACGTAGCATATTAATTACAGTTTCCCAGAATAAAATATTAAATATTAGATACAATAAATCAATTCTGCTTTGAAGGAAGATATATTCACCTCGTGCGTTCTTTAATTATCAGTACCTAGCATATACTGTCCCGGTAAGACCACGCGTAATTCGCTTCCTCAACGCCAGACTATTGAATTCCATTATTCCAGATATTTCACTAGGTGCATACGTACAAGTTAAATTTACTGGTTAACTTCGTAGATTCTCATATAGACTCCGCTATTTCTATGTATTGTGTTCTATAAGGTATGGGCATACCTCTGTTCGGATAATATCACTTTACGTTGAATTCTGGCTGAATAAATGTTAGGTTATTTTATTCAAAGTTCATTATAATTTTATATATGTATTTACAATGATTCAATCACTAGAATCATTCAGTCGTAGCTTGGCATTCGCAATTTCTATTGAACGTGTGTGATCAATATAACAGTGATGCAAAAATATACTAAATTATGACAAATTTATAAGTTAAATTTCAAGACACTGTTCCTGGATGCATATTATCGTTGTAAATTAAGCCACGCAAAACTGGAAGTATTTTCTATCTGATTTGAGATTAGATACCGTCATAACAACTTCGAAATGTGGGCTAAATTACATCTCTGCTATCACCTAATTCTATTAATTTATCTTCTGAAATGTTATAATATCGATATCACTAGGAGATATCAATAGTTGACAATGTGAAGTAATTAAAATTATGGTAGACGTTTATATTTAGGTATAAATAACTTTGAGTAGAATAGCATTAGCAGCAGAAAACAAAGTAAACGTTTCTGAAATACAATGTAGTTTCGAATGCAAGGGGAGCTTAATAAGCCTTCATGCAGATATAATTTCATTCATCAGTTCTTCAGATCTTTGAAGGCGGATAAATCTTCGGGCTTTGTTTCAAGTTTGTCTGTGAGAATACGATAGAAAGAGTTTCAGAAGTAATGCAGCGAGAATACGATAGAAAGAGTTTCAGAAGAAATGTAGAAAAGTAGGAAAATAGCCTAACTTGTAAAGAGCATTAGAAGTTAAGAAGAAGAAAATGACTTCCACAATAAGATATACATGTTGCAAGAATTGTCCTCGTTTTAGTTTTTGTAATAGTTCTCACAAAATCTCGCTTTTAAATAAATAAATCCACTCATATGTACTGAACTCCTTTCTCCGACCTTTGATTTGACTATGAAAACCGGCCTATCTGAAAGTAGCATTTAACCCTTTTAAGTCAAACTTCGCCTAGATAATATTTAATAATTCAGTCCGTATCGCATGGACACATTTCTCCTTTACAGTGATCAACTGGTTAGTGTCTCACTAGGAAATTACTTCTGTTTACTCTGATAATCATATGAAGCCCTCAACAATTACAGATGGAAGGAAAATCGCAGGAGAAGACATAGTGAACATATGATGAGATCGAAGAATGTTCCAGAATGTAGATAAGTATTTGCTACAGTATAACGGTCCGGAAGCTCACCTTTGATAATAACACCACGGCGACTGAACACCCTCTATCATTAATATGCTTCAGCTGTCTTCATCCTTTGTAGTGTCCCATCGTAGTGTTAACTAATCGTCAGAAGACGGTTTACCGCAAGGCCTTGAGAACTCCTGGCTGCAATATTAAACATAAACCACGTTATTAGATTTGCGAAAGTTTATGGTGCATTAACCAATTTCGGACAACATATTGCCCCCGTACGAATTACTCTCTGTCTCAGTCTACAAAATCACTTTGCTGTACTTGCAAATGAAGAGGAAGTTTACAACTTCTCGTGCTAAAAGGGAAAACGCTGTATTTTTAAATACCAAAACCTTAGAAGCCATAACAAACTTCTAAACCTTACTGCATGTTCATCATACTGACAATTCAGATCTGTAGTACGTCTTAGTGATATCATACCTTCTACTAACATTATGCATCGCCATCTTCATCACTTCATAACGGAAACAAATATGTGTAAGTTCTACACCAAATCAGTTTTACTTCAATATCTATATTAGTATGGAGTTCTTAATGTTTAGCTTGGCTTATTTTAAGCATGTCATCTAGTGGTATATTGCGACATTGAAATTCACACTACCCGTAAATTCCTATACAACTTTAAACGCATTTCTCGCTGCTCGTTCGTTAGATTTCTGTGTGAACATTTCCTCGGTAAGTAATTCACTTACAGACGGCCAATCTGATGGACCTTTTTCAGCGGTGTATAATAGTAATGTTGAAATCAAGCATAAAGTGCTTTTTCAGCGGTGTATAATAGTAATGTATAAATCAAGCAGAAAGTACTGTTCTAACTTCAGTACATGTCCTGGAAAGCACTTTTCATGACCGAGTATATCAGTAGCATTAAGAATGCTAGGGAAAACGTCTACGTATTTCTACAGCCGACCTATAAAATCCATCAACTTTTAAATAGACAGGCCGGAATCGTACAGCAGTAGCAAGGCCATAACAAACACATATCATGTACTGTCTTATTTATACAGGTAGCAGACTGTACTCGTATTTCGTATCCAAATTGAGTGTTGTTACGAAACGCGTTATATTTTCAAAAACCTGGCTTTCCGGAGGTTTCTCACTGTCGACATGTCTCCGAGATGAACTCACAAGTGAATTTTGTATGAAAAAGTTAGCCCCTGCAATTCACCTCATTTCTGAAACCAGCTTCTACGATAATTGATTTGTACAGTGCAAAACAACATGACATCCATGTGAAATCTATTTTTATCTTTAGGTTTTATGGGCATACTCACTTGAGAAACGGATTTACACGTCTGAAATTAAACATAATCGCAAGTGTGTGAAATATTTCATACGTTAACCATTACTGACATAACAATGCGAAATTTGGCAGTGAATATAATAAATTTAATATAAACTTAGATTAAACAAATGTAAATCAAATTATATAAATGTGCAAATATAATTTTTAGTCTCACCATATAGACTGAATCACACGTTATAAACATTCTAAATCTTTTTTCCGTAGAAATACATGATTAAAAAATGTAAGCCATAGCAAAGTTCGGAAGGAATAAATTATGAATTTATTTCTATTCAGAAAAATCCCTAGTTCAAGCTATTACTTATTACATATTTATTGTTGAAAAGCTAACAATCGCTCACCTGTATATTATTTCAAGCGATTCCAAAAAAGTACTAAATGTAATACAACCACCAAAAAATTCCTGATGTCAATAAAACTTCGTCAGTGACTCACACACATCACAGCGTCAATTCAATGCACACTAAACGAACACATTACAAAAACTGAGTTTATTTGCTTAATCCTTAACGGGTAGGCGAAGATTATAAATTAACTTCCAGCGATGAACTATCCCATCTTTCTATCAGAACACGTAACAATATAATGATGATGATGATCTGTATTTTAGAACAGTGTGAAATGGTCGGTAAATAAGCATCATCAGTAATATCACCGCCGTGAATACCTCAAATCTCACATAAGACAATTTATAAGAATACTGGATCCATACCATGAAATAAATTCCATATTTTTAGACAATATAAACGGATAAATATTACATGTAGCACTTCTCCTTTTATTTCCTTTGAAATTAATAGGCCTATGTGAAAATCAGGTTGGTGATCTGATATACAGATTCAATTTAATGTCTCGGTTTCCCTTTACATATTTCTTTAAAATGCTGCATTCAGGTGCCAGAAAGTATAAAAACTTATCCACAAACTTCATGGAATTTTAAACGTTATGCATCATGGAATTTTAGACGTTATGCATTTTTTATCTGTGCCGTGCTACATGCCTAGGCTATCCAATCCTCCCTGGTTTCGCCACCCTTACAATATCTGGTGGAGAATAAAAACTATGAAACCACACATTATGATTTTTTCTTTTATATAATGAAGCATGATCATTTGAAGCCAAAGCTTCTTTAAATAACCAAATATTTAAGAATTTAGCCCGTACCTCGAAGAGAACACAACACTTCTCTATACGTTAATGTTCATAAGGAAATAATCGCTGTTTGTTATGAGAAATAATATACGAATCCCATTAATATAATTTACAGAGTTAATGGTTTTTAAAGCAGTGGGTACATATATTTACCATTGGCTTTTAAAAGGTTAATTTAACACCATTAGCCTAGTATATAATTTCATCTTTAAGTATTACAGCCAACTTCCACAAACAGTTGATCTCTGTAATGGTGAAGAGTTGTGTTTACTTCGCGGTACGGACTGGATTCTTAAATATTATTAAGGGAGCGTCTCTCAGAAAGGTAAATCCGCAAAAACTGAGGAGCGGACAAAATAAATGATGATTACCGATAAATATATCGTCAGTTCGAAGCAAAATGGAGGAGTTTCATCCATCGCCTTAGTAACTTTTATGTTAAGTAATAAATTATATTGTCAAAGCAGAAGCTTAGTGACGGCTACTCCAGCGGTTTGCTTGTGGTCTTGTAAACTATAAAACTACCACTTCACCTTGATTGATCACTTCGCGTGTCACATAACAGCTACATGCATATCCAAACAAGTCCCTCCTTTCACCTCCCCCGCTCGTCAGGACACCTCTGGCTCTTCTCTCGCTGGGACGGCCATAAAAACAACCAACATCCCCCTCTCCCCACCCTTGTCACACCATTATCACTCTCCGGGGGAACACGAGCCCTCGTGACAAATCTCTCAGATAAGCCCATAAAGACCCCATACATCAATCAATCTACATAACCAACGCTGTTTCGGGCCGACATGAAACATACTGGGATGTACAATGAACATATGAAATATTCACAACGATTAGCAAAAACTGGGAAAAATATAGAAAAGTGATGACAGGTAATCTTTAAATTTAATAACTGGATTGATGTAGAAGCTTCGAAGAACATGAAACACGTTAACCATATAAGTGGTAACTATATGTACCACCTGCTTCACACAGTTAATAACTCCGCGTTTTATATGCATGGTTTTCGTATTGTTCTCAGTGTAAAAAGGGATTATTTCCTTAAACAGCGTTAACCAGTTGATCTTTGTAATGGTGAAGTGTTGTGTTTACTTCGCGGTACGGACTGGACTACTAAAAGTTACGTTTATTCAGCTCTGAACGGTTAGCAAACGAGTAGAAACAGCGAGAACTCGTTTGCTAACCGTCCTTAACTCTCTTTCTTCAAAGGGTTAATCTTACCTAGCAGTTTGGGGTAGATGAATGTTTATTTATAGTTAATTAAACGACGCGTTGTTAATAACGCAGACTGCAGTGTCGAATGTGAGGTTGATACTGAATAACGAATTGGAAAGGATGTGGAAGGAAGCCAGGCAGGTACACGATTTGAATCTTAGTAAGAACAGGCTTATTGTGTTTCTGACTGAGGTTTCTAGAAATTTTTCATTGTCTATCCATGGAAATGTTACGATAGTATGATCTTTTGAACGTTCGTCCTCAGCCAAAATCGAATCTTTTTTTTAAGTAATTAAAAGTAATTAATAAGTATTGAAACATGAGCTTAAAATCACACGGAACCCAAGAAAATAATATTGTAAAAGGAAGAACACAATTTCGTAAAACAATCTTTGGTAATTCACAACCGACTCATCCTCCTGTCAGTATATAATAAGACTCCGACGTTTCGGCTGCTGTAAGTCACCATCATCAAGGGCTGAAGACATTACTGAATGAAAGCAACATCTCCGCCTATGAAACAGTTGTTAAACAGCTTAAAACCAAATCGCGTGTGGAAATCTCACCACAGAAAGACGCAGACAAATGTTTCCGTAAAAATCTGTTGTTTTAAATATGGATAGAAAAATATAAAACAATAAATTGAGTCTAATAATAATTTAAGGTTACGGTATTACACAACAGAAGCAGGAAAATATAGGTAACTGGGCAAATGTTTGTGGATGAAAACGTATCAAAATTCATAACAAAACCACGGAAAAAGTTAAAGGAACTTGGAGAGAAAAGTGACTAGTGATTTCACACAAAAGGCGGTTCAATCTCTGCTTCACGCAACACAACGAAAAGAGGTCTAATGATTAATAGGACTATTTATGACTGTTTAATATTAATGATAATATTATATAATAATAATAGGTTGTAGACGCACATTTCATCAACAGTCTGATCATCAGTGGCTCAACCTGACGTGATCGATAAAGCTCTACAAGAATCGATTCAGTCGTTTCACTAAACAACAAACTTCAGCGAAAAAATTTAATTAGTCTCTGGAGGTTTCGGTGGAATCAAAGAGGATGGGGGGGGGGACATACCAGTAATGACGTCAGTAACTGGTTCTATGTCCTGACAGAACAAATGAAGATAGACACTACTGAGTGTTGATAACTGGTAGAGAAATGAAGAGGTTACGATCGATTTCTGTCGAAAGACTATTGGTCCAGATCTAGTCCATACGATAAACTTCAAAATACATGCGTATCTACTTGATGTAAGTCCATGTACACAAGAAAGATTGTGTCTGTCCGTATAAGCATGCTTCGATAAGTAATATTTATCTTCCACGGTGGTCTAGCGGTTAGAACGCTGGCTTTGTAATCCTGGGGTCTCGGGTTCGAATTTATAACTTGTGTTGGGCATGGCCGTGGTCTAGGCAACACGGAGTTTTCCTCCGTGGCATCCCAACAATTACTCCATTCACACACAGAAGAAGGCAATGGCAAACCACTTCTGGATCATCTGCCAAGAACGTATATGAACAGGTCCCAATCCGAGAAAAGGATGGAAGGATCCTGTTCATATGGACCTGTCGTCAGACAGAACACTAAATAAATAAATAAATGTTGTTTACTTAGGTTTTAAATTTGGTGTCTTCCACTAAAGAAAGAACATTCTTGATCAGAAAACTTTGGAGGTAATTTTCCTATCTCTGTTACGTAAGCAGAAAATATAAAATCTAAAACAAAACCAGCAATTTCTTGAGCAAAGTTTGACACTGTACTAAAGCTATATGACTCGCTGTCGATTATTTTGTTTAACATCGTTCATTTAACTACAGAGAGAAGTTGAATGAAATGACGATATGGTATTGAATAATATGTACTGAAGTTGAATGGTGTGTCAGGTATTATTTAAAGCAGTACAGGATAAAACTCATGAGGAACGCAAAAGACACTGTACGATACCTCAGTTAGAACAGATTAAACCTAGCGAGATTTGAACTGGATACCTCACGAATATAACTCTGGATTGATATAAGATTCTGTATGTGCGTTTGATTTCATCAGGTACACATCAGACAGAGGCAAATGTTCCGGCCAGTAGCGCGCCATCGGATAGCTAAAAGTGGAGAAATACCTAACTAGTATATCAAAGTTAATATTGACTAACATAATCTGATAGTTGCGTAACCGGCCTGAACTATTACAAAAATCAAATCAGTTTGACGCAAAAATATTTTAATGAATAGCACAGTATTGTATTAAAATGCGGAACTGGGACGTAAAATGTACAATAATGTCATTCACGAGTGAAGAATTATGTTATAGTACATTTGGTGTTAAAGAGCTGTCGTGCAATTTGTGTGAGGGGCAAGGGGTGAGCAACGTAGGCAAAGGGAATAGGAGAATTGTAAGAGAATAAAGAGAAAATTTGTACCAGAAAGAGAGACCGGAAGTAGAAAAAGAAGATTTCGCTATGTATGGGAAATAGAGCATAAAAGAGAGAAGCGGAAGGCATTCACTGCATACAAAGGAATTTGCTTGGATTTACATTTCTGGGCCGTCTTTCACAGAATTTATTTAGACTTTAGATCATAGACGATTTTGTTCCTGTGAGTTTCGTCTGCTCGCGGTGATTCCAGTTTTCTTTCAGCTTTTGGCAGTCTGAACGAATTTTATAAATTTTATTTGCCTCTGCGGTTTCAGTTTGCCAAAAAAAACAGTGAGAGCCAATTACGGGCATTTGAAGGGGTAAAAATTACAGATTATATTTTAGGATAACAAAGATAATTGTCAAATTATATGACGGGACCGCGAAAGCATTTTGAGGACTGTCTGAGGAAAAACACAAGGCAGCTGGTTTTGAACCACAGATCCTCAGAATTTTAATCTGAAGCATTACTCACTTCGTCAGTTTTGACTCGACTGTGTATTGTTATTTGAGAATGTACAAGATGTATTTAAAAAAATTGTACTTAAATATTCTTACACAGAATCTCATTTAATTGTTTAAAGTAGCAACATTGAAATATGCAGACTTTAATCTTTTTGAAATTGGTCTATAGGCCAACACCGTATCTCAGTTTTGAGTTACGATGGCCTATAGCCTATTTTTCATGCGTGGAGCAGAAATATTCCGATAAAATGGCAATTTCCAAAAACATTTATATTTTTTGATCAACGGATGGCTTATCAGATGTCACAAATCCGTAATTAAAAACTCCTCATTTTGCCATTTCTCTCATGAAGTCAATTAAGAAACTCTGTTTTTCCAAAAAAATCCTTGTTTTGTAGCAGTTGTAGGCTGCAGGCCTACTAGTACGACGTTCAACAGCGCTTAGCACCGTTCTCGTGTCTTAGAAAGTTTTAGACCATGTTAGGGATATAATTTAGTGTCTCATTGGATTGCGTAACTTGTAGTTTTACAAAAATCATAAATGGTTCCTTTATTTTGGGCATTTCAACAGAGGAATCAGAGATATAAAAATTAAATTCATTACCGTGGCCTAACAAACAAACAAACAAATAAATTCCTTTGGGCGATGTCATTAGGAAGCTATCAGTACGTTCAAGTAGCCAAGAGATTCTCCGCCTATTACAAAATTTGAAACTTCATAACCGTTTTTATAAAATTCTGCCAATTCTCCCTATCCTGATCCAGATGAATCTAATCCATATCATCCAACCCTCATTTCCTTAAGATCCGTTTTAATATTTTCCTGCTACGTACGTCTCCACTTTTCAGTTTCTGTGAACATTTTTAATTCTACGTGCAACAAATTTTATATGAAATTTTATTCAAACTTCTCGAATTTTACACAATTATTGTTACAAAACTTTTATCGATATTCCATTAAATCTTAATTGTATTGTCTTTCTTATTCTTCACCATCTCCTTCTTAGGTTCGTGGTATAGACAGTCAGTCTTTTCCAACGTTTTCGAGATCTTTCCATTTTTACTAAGCAATTAATGAAAATACCAATGAATACTCTTCTCACACCCACAGGTTACAAAAAAAAGTTATCATGTCCGCTAACGAGAGATTCGTCATGAACATTCTTACAGTTCGCACATGTGGGGCACAAATGATCATCCTAAGACCTCCAAACTGAAACACAATTTCCATTATTATATTTTTAATGACACAGACATGAATTTAAATGCGCATGCTCAGACGCGAACACGTAATCGTACATAAAAAATAAACCTTTTCCTCAGCTGGGAATAAAATACGCAACTACTGAAACTAGCTTCATTACCGATGCTAGAAACGACGAGTAAGTTGTAATAGGCATCTGCCTGTAAACCCGAAAACTCTATTAGCATTTTATTACACGTCCACAGTTAAAAAAATTCCCTCAATTGCTCTGTACATTTATAACTAAGAACAAGATAATTTTTATGAAACCTTGAAAGCAAATAAAATTTATATGAATATACCACACACGCACTACACAAAGGCGAGGACCTCTGCACTTGCTTGAAGCAGGACGTTTTGAATACGGGATATTATGGACAGGTCCTACATACGTATGCATCCCTTGATTTTATAAGGGCTGGAAGAAACCTGATTTTTACTTTACCCTTCACACAGTGGTAACCATGAGAGCCATATTCTTTGACATTCAATACCGCTGTACTTTTGCAACAGATTATATATATGACTTTTGTATGATTCTTATAATTAAGCAACGATTATTTCCGTAACAAAATATTAACCAATTGACAGTTGTAATGAAGACGTGTTGGGACTTTTTTTCTTTGAGGAAAGAGCAGAATGTTGAATTATTATTTAGATGAACTTTGGCTTCACACACACTGCACTGCGTGTCTCTCATGAAACCCCTGTCCTTGACATTAACTTCAAAATTCCGCTCAGAATTATTTCCCACCACGTTATTATAAATTTTGCCAAAATGCCGCTCTCTCAAGGCTAATATAAAAATTTAAATTTCTGATCGACTGCATTGGGACCCTACTCAATTTCTCTCTATACCCCACTCTCAAACGTCTTACTTTCTCTTCAATATACAATTATCAGAAGGACGAGCGGGCACTGCCTGGGAACCTTCATAGAAATAAATGTATCTCTGTTTCCCACATTACATGTTGTATCTCTCATTACTTCCCCATTTCCTGTTTCTCATTCATTTCGCTTCATAACAACACTAATTAATGTAGTAAAGTAAAGTGGTAAAACGATTAACCTTAACACAGACGTGTGTTTGTAATTTATTAGGTTTGCTGTCTAGGTCTTCTTGGGGTATCTGAAAAAAACTACGATAAATCATAATCAGTGCATACCGCAAAGAATTTTCATTCATATTTTCAATTCTGATATGTAGACCTTATGCTTATATTTCAGCTGTGTGTAAAACAGAAATGAAAGCTTTATTTCGATTAATTATTTGTAGAATAAAACCAGTTTATCAATATTCATAGTCTTATTTACTTATTTTTGCATGGCAGAACTTAAATAATTATTTTATAAATAAAATTAATTATTATATAGACACTGAAACAAATATCTTGAAATAATTTTCAAACTATAGAACAGCCATGCCTTACTAATCCTTTGAAAGCCGGAAACTCAACTAAATACCTACCGCATAGTAAACACAACGCGTCTATATTATAAACATAAATTTGTTCATCAAACCAAGATATATTTGAACTGAGAATCGTATGAAATCCATAAATAAAATTTGTGGACAAAATTAAATGTTACGGTATTGTAAATCAGTTGGTACATATACTTACCAGTGTACTTCAAAGAGTTTAAATGCGTACTGCTTTCCTTGGTTTTCGTCTTTAACATTGTCCGAGAAAGACGTTCTCAATTTACCGGCCAGACTCAGCTTGGTCTCCGGTACTTTCAATTCTCTGATCTCGGCCACTGAATTTCTCAAGTTAGGAAGGAGGCGCAAACTGTTGGTGCGTACGGATCTAAATGCTCGCAGACGCTCCGGGCCAACTCAGGAACACAGACCTTTGCCAATAGATTATCAATTAGGTTGAGTAATTCGACAAAAATTCAAGTTTCTCCTCAGCTGTGTTTGCGACAACAATACGAAAAGTGTAAGTGTAAATAAAACTGTAATTTTACTTTGCAGACAATCCTGTATATGCAGACAGAGTAGTTTCAAATCTATTCAACAGTTAAAATTATACTTTAAACCTCTATGATGTTGTGTAACATCACTTTATAATCCTTATACCGTTCAAAATAAAATAGACTTTATACCTCCATGAAGAATTATTTCTTCATTTAAACATGCTACCAGTAGCTAAGGGTGACTTTTATAACGTCGAATAATATGATTAATAAACAATATGTTTGAAAAGAATTCGAAGGAAGCGGTCGTGGCCTAATCTAATACCACAGCGCTTACTCAGAGAAACTGCGAAAACAAAGAGAAATATCAGTTATAATATCCAATTTCCAGACCAAGATTTAAACCCGAGACCTCTCGAATACGAAGCAGGTATGCTAACTACTGGCATCTACAGTTTTCGTGTCTATCAGTCATATTAAAAGCTAACTTTCTTTATAAAAAGAAACACCTCACGTATATACTGAGTTTAAAATTTAATAAATTTAATTTAATGCAGTTTTCTATTTAAAATACAGCTTTCATGGCATTTACGAATTGAAATGCACAGGGCTTAGATTCATATACAAGTATTTTAATATATTATTATGTTGTTTGCTACATATTCAGGAAGTCAGATAAGTATCGATTAACCACCTGGAATTGTACTATAAGAAACTCTAACTTTTCGATAGTCGACGTAGAGTTACTCAAAATTTGCATATCAGAATGAGTGGGAAGGGTATGTAATTTATTACGTACATATAATGTACTGACCATCGCCAATGCTTCCATCAGATGTCGACTTGTGAACAGAATAAAGAATGACAAATAGTACACGTAAGCAGTTCTGCACTGGTACTGAAGCTACAGAATTTTACTGCCACGGGTTAAGTCCGGACAGACCGGTATCTCTTTCGGATGCTGCTGACAGATCTAAAATATCCACGCTTGATCGCGTCTTCTTTTCAGACTGTTCGTAAAACCAAAACTTTTTTTCCTAATGAAGCACATGCAGGCTTACCACCTACCTCTGAAACACGAATTACATAAAAATCGTTTGCGCTTGCGCAAGAGGCATGCGCGAAGTTCTTTATTTATTAAGGCTACAGGTAATTAATTTAACGTGTAGCGTGTTCGCGCGAACTGGTGGTTAGCATTCCATTCAAATGAAGTAAACCACTTTTAACAAACGCTAGGAATTTCGCGTGACCTACATTGATTAAAACAAGTGTTGACCTTTCCCAGTCTAGAGACAACGCATGTTGTTAATTTCTTTGATACACGCGACGTTAAACTGTGAGGAGCTGGGTTATGAACTGATCATTCTACACCGGAAGACACATGGTCTTTAATGACATTAGGCACGTACCTTCCGTTTACATTTTGAGAAGTGTAGAGATGATAAATAAGAAGATTTCTGTCTTCTGGGTTGTTGCGCTGTGTAGTCTGGTCGATGTTTACCGACGTTTCAGAGGTCATCCTGCCTCCGTCATCAGGGCGTCATATTCATCGCCCTGATGACGGAGGCAGGATGACCTCTGAAACGTTGGTTAACATCGACCAGACTACACAGCGCAACAACCCAGAAGACAGAAATCTTCATATTCACCGCTGTGAGAACCTCAAGTCTTACATGATAAATAAGATTAATATTATTATTTATTTTTTATTCTTTTTATTTATTTATTATTAACTGCAAATGGGTTTTTACTCGGTGGTAAATAAATAAGATGTTTTCAAAAGTTGTTGAGGAATGTGAACAAATTAACCAAAATATATTTTAAAGTCATAAAACTTAAATTGTTCCATTTTTGGTGTATATGACAAAATTTAAGGAGCGTAGATCCATCGACAATTAGCTGTCAAGTTATTATTATTTAGTGTTCTGTCTGACGACAGGTCCATATGAACAGGATCCTTCCATCCTTTTCTCGGACTGGGACCTGTTCATATACGTTCTTGGCAAATGATCCAGAAATGGTTTGCCATTGCCTTCTTCTGTGTGTGAATGGAGTAATTGTTGGGATGCCACGGAAGCCCCCGGAGGAAATGCTTAAAAGTTTTTGATGCAGACAGATAAGGCCGCCGGTCCACAGACACTAACAAAACATGTAGCTTGCTCAAAGACCACGAAACTGCCTCAAGACTGGACATTAATTTTGCTCGTCCTTGGTGCAGACCTCTACTGTAGCAACACAACGTTGCCAATCATACCACGAAAGTATCTCAATATTACTCTTACTTTTAAATTCGTCTCGTAAAAGAGATGAAAAATTTATTATAACCAGTGGCGTAAATTGATCGAGTGTTGCGATGGTCTTTTCGTCTACGCACTGAACAGCTTCGGGGTCTATAAACTTGTAACTTACAAAATGGTCACTAGGTTAATACACAGACATGACGGCTCAATGCCTTTTTCTTTGTGGAAAGAGAACGAACGATAAAAGAGAGGTGAGACAAAGAGAAAATCCGATATCGAAGTCTCGAATGCGCAAGGCCGGACTCAGCTTAAGAGATACAACACCTGGCAGTACAGAAAGGTCTCCTCTCAAACTGGCTTGCGTTTTGAGCCAAAATTCCCCTCATACTTACGGTAGAGTGAGAGGTTCGTGAAGGCCGCTGGTGTATCAGTGTTTCCGGCTCTCGGCCATATTATACGGCCTTGCTAATACCATTCATACTATTCCTATTGTTTTCACTTCTTACGTAATAGGTTTTTCAGTTTCCTCTAGTCGTCGTTTCATTTCCTGATAAAGTTCCCGTTTCTCCGATTTTGGGTCACAACAATAAATTAATTTCTCTTTGATTCCGGGCAGATTTCTTCCGACATTTCACCAACTCATAACTTTTGCGTGTTGATCGTGTAATCCACACATAAATACGCCATACTTCGTCTCGCAAGAAAAAATATCCGTACTTGAAAAATCTCTGAAGTTGAAAGATGGTCATAATTTTTTCTACACTTTAAATGTTGTTGCGCTTGGATCAATTCAGTTCTATTTTCCAGCACCTAAATAAGCCTATATGTAACTTAATTTCAATATTAATTTTAACGATAAATAATGCACAGGACCTACAGATCATACTGCTATCATGGTTATAAGTAAAATTCTGGGAATTATGCCTGCTTCGAAGATTCTGATATATTATTCTATCCTTTTTCCAGTCAATTTTACCCTCAATGGGATTAAGGACAATTGTGTGAAGAGGATAGCCCTTTTGAACAAATCTTCGTTGCTGTCAGTATTTTCTCTAAGACACGCGACCGGCATTCAATCAATGCGTCTGCACAACTTGAAACAGTGTTATACTTTCAATGACGACGATCGAATTGTCCGCTCTCTGCCCTGAGAAATAAATCAGAAAGTTGACGAGCTGATATTTAAAAACAATTGTTATATAATATGTGTGTCTTATGTAAGCCTATTCTAAAATATTAACGATATTTTCTCAGTGTTTGAGGTTTACTGTTTGTACCAACAGCTTTAAAAATATTTAATTCCGAATTCTGTCCATAGAGTATATTTATGAGTTTCGTACAACTTTCAGAGTAAACTACGTTTATTTTCTTAAAAAACATTGACCAACTAAGATGTGCAGCGCAGATGCGTTCCGCTCTTTTTTTTGAGGTAGAAATCACAATTTAAATAATACTGAGATGATATTCAGAGTCCAAATCCCTAAGCGGAACAAAACTGTGAGCCCGAGGAAACAAATAAAGTAATACTGAGAGATGACATATAATATTTTGTGAACTAGATAAGCAACAAACCCAAACGTTCGTTTTAGAAAAAAAATTACAAATATCCTTTATAATATTCCTCTTTAAATCAATTCACAAACTGTTTCAGAATAAAGAAGCAACACAGACATGGATTGCCGTTAGGGTTTGTGCTGCTGAATATAAATCAGTACTTTATGCACCCGAAAATTCCTGTTATTGGAGATCTCGATTAAATTCTTTCGTGGTTTTCCTAGGTCCTAAAGCAAAAGCTGAGTTTGCGCCAAAATTTCACGTTACACTCTATGCCTCTCAAGCAGCCCCCTCAATATTAATGTCAAAATTGCACCCTAAAGAAGCATCAATGTATTACCAAATTTCTCCCTCCAATCTCAATCTAAAAATTCGAAATCCCAATCTACTGCAATAAAGTCATGACTTCGTATCGCTCTCAATTTCTCCCTTTACCATCAGGACGAACTGGCATTGCCTGGGATCCTACAAAATTGTAAATTTATCTACGTTTTCCCCGGTAAATTTAGTGTTTCTCCTAAGTTTGTTCTTCTTCAAAGGGTTAATGTGGCGTCATGCTTTTTCTATTGCATCCACAGTTATTAAAAACTGGATACAAAATCGGCTTAAATTTAAATAGCACATTATAGTCTATTAGATATGCAATGAAACGTAAATATTATGAAACACACAAATGTCCCAATAGGCTAGATATAAACCTAATGTAGAGCACCTTCAATAAGGAAAAGCATAATTTGATACCACTCGAAGGTTATTTTATTTTAATAAATTCTGTTGTTTCAGAAAAGTTCTTTACTACGTTCTCATTAAAAAAAATTCTTAAACTCTAGACTTTTCCTCTGAGCCTCCCGCACCCCTCCAAAAGGACTTCTTCACGCATCGTGAAGGGTTAAAGGGGTAGGTGTGAACTGTTCAACGCGCATGTGCAAACTTAACCTCTGTCTAAACTGCTTGGTATCGAACCTAGAAACTGGAGTTGTCTACAGTAATATTCTAGGTATAGATGGACAATTACACGAAAGCTTTCGACACTTCAATAGATGCCTTTATTTTCACTGCATATTTAATTATCCTAACAACACAATTTTTCACTGAATCTTCCTTAACTCATTCTCCTTCAGATAAAAATACTAGCATCTT